CAGGTGCAGCACCTGCTCCCCAGCAGGGGGAGACAGAGAGTCAGCTGGGGCCCATCTGGTGCTTGGGAATGCCTGGGCTGCAAGGCAAATCCCATCCTGGCAGAGTCGAGGCGCCAAGGGAGTGCCCAGGATGCTTACCAGTTCACACCGTGGAGGCGCTGACCTCCTGAAACCTCCTGCTCCCTTAAGGGACGTGGGCCCCTAGACCTCAGGAGTGAAAGTTTCACCCTTCCTGCAAGGAGGGACCCCACGGCAGCCAGGCACACGCAGGACCCTCCTCCCAGCCAGCATCCCTCACCAGCTATCCCCTGCCCCACCTCAGAAACCCCAATCAGCCACCCCACTGCACTGCTAAGCCCAGACTCTTGCTTTGATCCAGAGGCCCCCAAGATCCGTGTCCCCCGCCACCTCCGTCAGACCTACATCCGCCAGGTGGGAGAGACGGTCAACCTGCAAATCCCCTTCCAGGTGGGTATTACCCCCACCAAGGGTAAGAGGCTGGGTGGGAACCAGGGCCCCCATTTAAGGGGAGCCTGGGAAATGGCAGGATCTCCAAGGGTTGGGCTGAGACCCAGTGAGACGGCCTCATCCTCCCACAATCATGTACATGACTCATTGGTGATTCTCAGCCTGGGGATGAGCAGGTGGGCCCCAGAGCGGGCTGGACACCTGGAGGAAGTGGCTCAGGGCAGCCCCTGTGGCTCCAGCCTTTGCTGCCCCTCCTGAGAAGGGCCAAAGGGACAGGCTTCCCCGAGAACAGCTCGAGACTCCTGGAGTTAAGGGGGTGTGGGGACGCTGGCACCTCTCTACACTCACCCTGGGGGCTCCTCCCTGCCAGGGGAAGCCTAAGCCTCAGGCCACATGGACCCACAACGGCCATGCCCTGGACAGCCAGCGGGTGAGCGTGCGCACCGGGGACCAGGACTCCATCCTCTTCATTCGCTCGGCCCAGCGCTCTGACTCGGGCCGCTACGAGCTCACCGTGCACATGGAAGGCCTGGAGGCCAAGGCAGCCATTGACATCCTGGTGATTGGTATGGAGCCAGGGGAACAGTGCTGCCTCAAGGGGGACCTGGAGCCCCCGACCTCCTATCCCAGAGCTGACAGCTGATGGGAGCAGGCCAAGGGAGTGTGGCAGGAGCCAAATCTTGGATGTAGGGGCTCTGTGGCCAGCCTGGCCCTCAAGCTCACTTCCCCTCGCACTCTGGGCCTACAGAGAAACCTGGACCTCCCAGCAGCATCCGGCTCCTGGACGTCTGGGGCTGCAACGCTGCTCTTCAGTGGACGCCACCCCAGGACACAGGCAACACAGAGCTCCTGGGCTACACGGTGCAGAAGGCAGACAAAAAGACAGGGGTGAGGCTGGCTGAGGCAGAGTGGGGTCAGGGTACGAAGTGGTCAAGGTGGTGGAGAAGGCCCATCCCACTGAGTCTAGGGACCGAGTCTAGCGATCCAGTTCTGGTCTGCCCACTGCTAACCTGACTCCCTAGGAGGTCCTTAACAAGACTTTTCCTCTCTGGACCTCAGATGCCTCCTGAAGACTGTGAGGAGGGCTGGCCCGGGCTGTCTGAAGCCTTTCAAGCTCCGGAGCCACACTTCTCAAATCTTAATGTCCACATGAGTCACCTGGGGAGCTTGCTAAGAGGCAGAGTGTGACTCAGTAGGTCCAGGGTGGGGGCTGAGGGCCTGCATTTCTAAGAAGTTTCCAGGTGATGCTGAAGTTGCACATCTGTGGGCCACACTTTGCACGCGAAGGCTCTAGGATTCTCTGAGGACCCTTCAGAGGTCACCTGAGTGACCCAGGGGGCCCTTCTTCCAATTCAATGTCCCTGAGGTCCAAAGCTGGATGGTTCAGCATCCCAGGGTTGGGGGCATGGAATGAGTTCCTGTGAGGAGAGGGCTCCAGGGTAAGCAGGGAGGGCGAGGACAGGGGTGAGAAATGAGGGTGACGCCCAGGGCCCTGCAGCAATGGTTCACAGTGCTGGAGCGCTACCACCCAACCACCTGCACCATCTCTGACCTCATCATCGGCAACTCGTACTCCTTCCGGGTCTTCTCAGAAAACCTGTGTGGACTCAGCACCTCAGCCACCATCACCAAGGAGCTCGCCCACATCCAGAAGGCAGGTGGGTTTGGGCCCAGAGCTGGCTGTGCTAAATCTCTCCCTGTCCCTGCCTCTTCCTCGGCATCTCTGCACCCCTCTCTCTGGGCTTCTCCTGGGCGTCTGCCCCTGGAACACGGGCTGTCCCCTCACTCCACAGCTATGATGCATACACACGCACAGAATGGCTGTAAAGTAGTGGATGTGGCTGGTTGATTTTAACAAACACATCAGAGCAAATCCACACAAATGAAAGATGCCCCTTTGGAGGCTGTGTACTTATTCCAGAGATGTGTGTGCATCCGCCAAGTTTCAGGCAGAGAGTGTCCGAAGGGAATCTAAAGGGTGACCCACAGGTCATGGATAGGTAGTGTGCTAAAAAGGGTGAGTTTGCTAAAAGCAAGCCTCCCAACCCTAATACACACCACATAGATGGACAAGAGAGATAGGAGTATTTACTCTCTCCACACAGGCACCTGACCCTCTTGCGTCAAATGTTAAACCCTGGGCCCTTTTCCCTGTCCCTTGTGTGCCCCGAGGCCCTCTCCGACCCACAGTCTGTGTGGGTTCCAGAAGGCAAACTTTTTTTAACACTAGCCTGAACTGCACAGAATTAGGAAGAAATTTTTGTTTAGAAAACGAAAGCCAGTCAAGTCTCCAATGACAAACACAAAGGAAATATGGCATCTCTGAGTTACTAGCCTCCACCTTCTGCCAAGATGCTCTCATCTCTGGTTTTTTCACCTTCTCTTCTCTGCTCACCACCCTGACCCACCCAGCTACAGTCTCAGCTCTCTCTGCCTCTTTGAGATTGTCCAAGTTCCCGCAAATAAGCCATGACTTGCTATCCATAGATCGTGGATCACAGTCAGTCCTAACAGGTCTCCTTCACTCCTGTAAGCTCAGATTCACCCGACTTTCTCCCCTGAACCCAGATATTGCTGCCAAACCTAAAGGGTTTATTGAGCGAGACTTCTCAGAAGCCCCTTCATTCACCCAGCCCCTGGCTGACCACACCTCCACCCCTGGCTACAGCACCCAGCTGTTCTGCAGTGTCCGAGCTTCACCCAAGGTGAGGGTCCAGGCCCTGCTGTGCCCTGGGCTGGTGGGGGCAGATGGGGACAGCAGGGCTGAGGAATCCTCCAGGCATCCACACCTAAGCCTGGGGATAGCCTTTGAGTGCCCCGCTCCAGTCCACACCTCCCCAGCTCTCTTCTGACCATGCCTCCCAGCCCAAAATCATCTGGATGAAAAACAAGATGGAGATCCAGGGCAACCCCAAATACCGCGCCCTCTCTGAGCAAGGCGTCTGCACCCTAGAGATCCGGAAACCCAGCCCCTTTGATTCTGGGGTCTACACCTGCAAGGCCATCAACGTGCTGGGGGAGGCATCTGTGGACTGCCGGCTGGAGGTCAAAGGTGAGAGTTTGAGGATGGGAGAACAGGAGTAAGCACCTCTCTGGAGCTGAACTAGAGGCAGCAGAGAGCTTAAAATCAAGGCAGAAGAGAAGGGGTAGTAAGATTGGGGTCAGGCTGTGCTGATTACTTTCCAAGCGGGAGGGTGGACAGGTGTAGAAGAGGGTGTATAACTGTGAACCTTGTCAGTTCCCCGCCACTTCCCCCAAACTCTAACTGCAGCCTCTCTTCCAGCCTCAGCCACGCACTGAAGAGCCACAGGAGGAGGCTGTGATGAGGAGCCAGGTAAATGGCCTGACCCACCCGCTCTGTCACCTCTGCGGGTGGCACAGAAACAGAGAGGAGGCCGGGAGCAGGGGGTGGGAGTGAAAAGGGAAGGTGGTGGTCAGCTCTGGGTACAAACTTGAGGACACAGGCAACTAGCACGCATGTCCAGAGACTTGCAGTGACGTTGCAGGGCCAGGCGATGCCAGTGTGGTCCGGAAGGGGGTTGATTCCGTGGACCGCCACATGACCAGAGTCTGCTCCCAGCTCCGAGTGACCTTCAGCAAAGGTGTTCTCTCTGAACACATTTCCTCATCCGAAAACTGGGGATAACAACCTTTCCCTGCCTTCCCTCCCCTGGTGGTTCTGCGGCTCTGCATAAGTACAGAAGTATCTAGAACTGCAGTGGGCAGAGTTCAGACCTGGGCTTGGTCCTGAGGGAGGGAGGCCTGGTGAGAAAGAGGGTGCTGCTCCCCCTCCCCTCTCTGCACCTCTCTGGCCTGCAGCTGAGCTCTGCTCACACCAGGGGCTCAGGAAGCATGTCCTCCTCCAGGTGCTGCAGGCCTGAAGGGTCAGGTCCGCCAGGCCCACAGTCAAACTCCAGAGATGTCCAAGACCCCCACTTCCATATCGACGGCTGATGGAACTGCCCCTGGTACCTGCTGGCCTCCCTCCCACAGAGGCTGTTGTCCAGAACTCAGGACTGGGCCTGGTAGGCCCTGGGCCATGCTATCTGGGCTCAAGGGGTGCTGGAAGGCGCAGAGATTGGAGTGCCCTGTGGAGTTGCGCACTGGGTGGGAAGCACTCCAATAAAGATGCGTGGTGTTACAGTGCGGGGCCTCTGTGCCACTGAGCGACATCATCTAGGGGGAGGTGCTGTGTCACCAGGAGGCGGGGGTGTCTGAATGTTTCACCATGAGGGGTTCTCCAGATATGTCACCATGAGGAAGATGCCAGTGGGAGAGGTCTCAGGATGTCATGGCTGGGGCAGGGGGTGGGGGTTCTGGACATGTGAGTTTTCAGGATCTCACTTCCTGATCAGGGTTTGCTACCCCAAGTGTGTAACTATGGAAACAGACACACCCTCTCTGGAACCTTCACGCCTTCACAGGCTCACTCTCGCAGCTCCTCCCGGCCCCCGCCATTGCTTCCTCTCTGCTAAAGCTGTCTTGTTGCCCTCAACAGTGGTGGGGGTGGGCGCCCAGCAATGTGCTCTCCACAGGGTTCACAGGTTTTTATTAGTCACATGGGCCTCCCTTGGGAGCCAGGGCACACCCCCTTTCCAACAGAGGGAAGGGCCTGGAAGCAAGACCTGGAGTTGACACTCATGTTCAGAAGGTCAACTCAGTGACCACCTCCCCTCCCCTGCCTCGCCCCCCCTACATGGGGGCTCCAGGCTCCCCCGCCTTACCTCCCCTCCACCGGGGCTCCAGGCTCCCTGCCTCACCCCCGCAACACAGGGGCTCCAGGCTTGGCAGGGCATGGGTTGGTCCTTCCCCAGATCCCTAAAGTCCTAGACCCCCAGACACCTGCAATAGAGCTTCCAAAGTCCCTGAAAACCCAGCCAAATACTAGGGGTATTGAGGGATTCACATGACAGCAAGGCCTTCTCCCACACACTCTCGGGGGGTGCTCTCCTCTGCCTGCTGCAGCCTGCTAAACCCACCCCAGGGGGACCCACAGTCAACACTGAGTCCTTACAGACCCTTTCCTTCGTCCACCCCGTCCCCAGGCAGGCAGAATGTCTAGGGTTCTCCTCTCCATTAGGCCCAGAAGCAGCAGAGATGGGGTCACCTAGGACAGTTCAGGCCCAGCATCGGGCGGGCCAGTGGAGCTGGTGGCCCAGATGACAGGTAATTACACTCCAGGCTCCTCCCTGGAAAACTCAGGGCAAGAAGGAGGGCTCAGAGCTGCCACCTCATGGCTGTTTGAAGCCAGCACCCACCGCACCAAGCTCACTCCCCAGGGCATGGAGCCAGCACTCCAGCAAATATCAGAAATGATTTCTGAACCTACCCTTTCTGCCTCTCCCACGTACAATCCTGGGCTGACCCAGGGCAAGGAGAGCAGGCACCCTAGCACCTGGTATGGCCTGGGGCCCAGAGTCCTCAGAGTTGGGAATGGAGGCTCCTTGATTCCTGCCCCTTAGCTGCCTCTGGCCACCCTCTCCTACAGAACAGGAGAGACAGCCAGGCCAGTGCGTCCTCGACCTCTCTCCTTCCATCCGTCTCAGAGGGGATGCTCTCCTCTCCTTAAGCTTGGTCCTGGGGCTGCACCACCAACGTCTAAGACAAACAGACTCCCCTGCCTCACTGCAGAAGCCCAAGCACCTTCTCCCAGCTCAGGTGGCTCCTCTGCAGTCTTGGCCTCCCCAGGACCTGCCCAGCCCTGAAGTGCTGGACTGCTCATGGGATGGTCAGGCAGGTGGAGGCTCAGGACACTCTTGCCTCTGGACACCCGGTCCCTCTGTAGGATCCTTGCCCTCCCAAGCCTCCTGCAGGGCCCAGAAGTATAGGGTAGTTAACTCCTAGTGGAGGGACCACACCCTGCGGGTATCTCTTCAGAGCCTCCCCCGTGCCCCTGGCCCACAGCCCAGCTGGGGCAGGCTCAGGGAGACCCCCGGGACAGTGAGCAAGTGAGGACTGGACTGAGACCCCACTGGATGTGGGCTGGTGGGAGCAGAAGGCGGGGTCTAGTCATCAGGCCTCTCTTCTGGGAGATCCTCATCAATGGGGGGTGCAGGCTGGCAGCGGAAATGGTCATTCCAAATCTTAAGGAAGGTGACGCGGAACTTCTGGATGCGGAAGGCGTAGACGATAGGGTTCATGGCTGAGTTGCCGTGCGTGAGGAAGATGGCAATGTAGGTGAGGATGCTGGGCTTGTGGCAGGATGGGCAGAAGAGGGTGATGCAGTTGAGGATGTGCAAAGGCAGCCAGCTGAGAGCAAAGAGGAAGAGGATGAGGGCCAGCGACTTGGCGATCTTCAGCTCCTTCCCATAGTACTTCTGCGGGTCGCCAGAAGAGGCTGATACCTTCTTGTTGAGCTGCTTGCGGATTAGGTAGAAGACCTCCAGGTAGATGAGGACCATGAGGAGAAGCGGGGGCAGCACCCACACAAAGAAGTTGAAGTAGACCATGTACTCCATGCTGATGACTTTCTCGAACTCGCACTTGATCACGGGCTCCCCCATGCTGCCGTTGGCTGCCCAGGCCCGCTCCACCGTGCTCAGATTGTTCCAGCCAAACATAGGGGTCAGCCCCACCACCAAGGAGAGGATCCAGCAGCCGGCGATGGCCACCGCCGCCCTCCGGGGGGTCACCACCATCTTGTATCTGGGGGAGAAGAGGGCAGAGTGTCAGGATCTGCCTCCCAGCTGCCTCGAAAGGCCCCTCCAAGGCACACCTGGCCTCCAGGGGCCTCTAAGAGGAGCACCCTCCCCATCCAGGGCCCAGTGAGTGGGGAGGTGCATGTCTTTTGCTTGAGGGCCGAGTCTTCAGGATCTAAGATTTAGTGCTTGCCATGCATTGGCTCACTCTCCTGCAGAGAAAGGAAATCCTGATTAATGACAAAAATAATAATAGAAAATCACAGAGGAGCTCCTTTAGGAATTTCAAGGAAAAGTAAAAATTCCTCCCATGCGCTCAGCACGCCCCCACTGGTTATCTCACCCTTGCTTCATGACAGCCTTCGTCGCGTAGGAAGTCACCGGCAGAATGAGGGCTACCCAATCGACAGATGAGGAAACTGAGGTTCAAAGTAGTCACAGGATCTGCCCAAGGCCACATGGAAGGTGGCAGCGCCATTCCATGCTTCCTAAAACATGTCTACACTGACCGAAACACCCAGGTGATTAACAAACCATCCCTTCTCTTAGGCCAGCAGACACAACTGTCATTTCAAAAAATCTTTCACACAACCCCCTTCTCTTGGCCTTGTCCCATACTCCCCTGCCATACCCTGTCTCCCACCTCTACATTAACCTCCTGTTTCCCCTTCCAATCACTGTGCAGCACTTAACTCCTAACGGCTTGATCTCAAGAACCAGCCCTGCACTCCCAAGCTAACTGGAAATGATGCTCAGGAAAGAAAACTGATATTCACTGAGCATCTACTACATGCTGGATACTTTCACTCATTCATTCATGCATTTACGCACGCATACATGGATGCATTCATTCAGCAAGCATTTGTCAAGTGCTTTCTGTGCTAGGCATTGCTCTCTGTGCTGAGAATAAGATAAAAGATCCCTGCTTCTACATATCTCACATTTTGGGTGAAGAGACAGATAACACCAAAGCAAGAAAATAAGCAAGACAACTACAGATCATGATACGTCCTTTAAAGGAAATAGGTTGAGTCAAGGGCCTAACTTTTTTCATGTCATGACCCACAAAGAAGATGGAAACATCTGGATGACGAGGCTGCTCATGAGCCACAAGGGTTGGGCGTTTTCACATCTCAGGGGTTCCTGCTTCCCTTTAAACCAATCTAGCCAGCAGCCATCATGGCTTCTGCCTATACACTGGCCTTGGAGACAGTGCCAAGGGCTGGGTCTCGCCAGCTCTGTGCTGAGGAGCCGGCTGAGCAGCAGCAGCTTGCCCAGTTGTTATTTTCCAAAGCAGCTTCTGAAATGGATGGAGTGCCCTCCTGAGCATGTAAACAGCTTCTGAGACCCAGGAGTGTGAAGGGAGAGGCTGCCGACCGTTTCCTTCTGCCCCAGGGATGCAGAATCTGTGGCTTTCTCCTGCATGGTGATGATGCTTAAAGTCTGTCTCACCCCAGACAACGCTTCTCCTAGATCCTTTACCATCCATCAAAGCGCACCTGCTCTGTGAAGGCTATAGAAGTAGGAAGGGAGACAATTTGCAGAGTGGGAGGAACCAGATGCCCCCTCTCCACCCCATCTAGAAGATAAGGACTAGAAGAGACCTTTGGAATCTCATTTTCTATCCCTTCATTGTCCCAGTGAAGAAATTGAGGACTAGATGACTCCAACACCTTCGGAGCAGTTCCCCTCTCCTACTCTGTGATCATAGGATTCTTGTGCCCCAAACCGCCACCAAGGGGCCTTGAGAGGTGACTGGTTCACTTGTGACTCTGAAGTTTTCTTAGATCCAATCCTCACTCTCTTGCTGTAATTGAAGCCCTTTCCCTCCTCTGTATCCTCAGCAGAATGGCCAGGCCTGGTGCAGACACTGTGAGTCAGAAGACCCAAACTTGGGCCGCCAGTCTGCAACTTGCTAGATCAATGTCTCCTCTGTAAAAGAGACCTACTTCAGAGGGGGAGGATCAAATGAGATACTACGTGTACAAGTACTCTGTAAACACCCAACCAGTATTCCTTTGCCTGAGCTCTTCTTACCCCTCCAAGCTCCTAGACAAATGGCCACCTGGAAAACTCCAGTATCTCTGGATGCTCAGCAAACACAGCCTAAGGGCTATTTAAACATCTTCCTCACATCTTGTTCCTGACCATCTCAAAGTGTTCCCCACGTGTCCTCTCAGATATGGTGGAAAAAGTTCCGGGAGTGAGTCTACAGGAAAAGACCAAAGGAACGGTGGTCATTCTGAAGGCTGAGAGATGCTATCTCAGCAGCCACACAGCGGAGAGCAGGGCCAGATCCCCAGGTGAACCTCAGCAGGGAAAGACAGCTGCTGCTGCAGAGAGGACGGGGTCAGGTGTCCTGCCTACCCCTACCACCCATCACATCTGCTATTTATACCACATTTATCATGTACAAATCCCTTTCTCAGTCCTATCTCGGGTAATCCCCATAACCGCTGCTGTGGTGAGCACAGCAGACAAGGGAATGCCCATTTCACAGATTAGAAGCTCCACTGGCCTGGGTCTCCTGACTCCAAGCCCAGCTCACCTTCAGGGTGCCAGGCTGACTGTGGGTTGCTGAGATGCAGATGATTGGCAGGTTGAAAATATCCTTTGCCTATTAGATTTAAAAGGGGAACTTCTAGACCTTGCCCAAGGAAGGCACCACCCAGAGTCAATGGGGTGGGCCAGGTGATCTCTGGTGCTGCCGTCCAGCCTATGGATTGAGGGATCTAGCCTGGGACTGACATCAGGGCAGTGATGACCTATGGAGAGAGGAGAGGTAGACAGTGACAGTCTAGACACTGACAGGAGAGAGGGAAGAGACAACTTCTAGCTACAGAGGTGGCTCCCTCCCCTCTTCTCTCCTCACCCCTCACCCTTCTGACCGCCTGGAGCCCCCGGGGTTAAAGCTTTCCTGGGGCTCCTCCAGTACCCAGTCCCAGCAGACCCTGCAGCTTAGGGTATCAGCTCTCATCTGTTTTTCTTGCTATTTTCTCCCTTGTGGGAAAGGGCTGGACCCAAGACCTTGGCTGAGGTGGGGCAGGCTCTCACAGGAAGGGCTGCCTCCCAGGGCCAGGGGAGAAGCTCACCTCTCCTTACACGTGGGAAAGGAAGCAGAGGCTGCAAGTCCTGGGGCATGCATGGGGTCGGGGTGTATGGAAGGTGCCTCTGACTTGGGAATGCCCCTCGCAAGTCCACAGCATCCCCGAGGGCTGTGCTGGGAGCTAAGCAGGGAGATGCTGCTTTCAGGAGTGTGCAGCTCAGGTGTGCACGAACGGGAGAGCAACGGAACAGAGACAGGAAAACACCAAGAGGGGCCCCATCTACAGGCCAGCAGGGCAGACAGTGCCTTAACGATAGCCCTGAGGGAACCGGGTGCAGTGGCTCATGCCTGTAATCCCAGCACTTTGGGAGCCCGAGGCAGGATCACGTGAGGTCAGGAGTTCAAGACCAGCCTGGGCAACATGGTGAAACTCTGTCTCTACTAAAAAAAAAAAAAAAAAAAAAAAAAAAATGAGCCGCCGTGCCTGAGCCGGGCATGGTGGCGCATGCTTGTAATCCCAGCTACTCGGGAGGCCGAGGGAGGAGAATTGCTTGAACCCAGGAGGCAGAGGTTGCAGTGAGCCGAGATCGTGAGATTGCGCCATTGCACTCCAGCCTGGGCAACGAGAGAGAACTCTGTCTCAAAAAAAAAAAAAATAGCCCTGAGGCAACCAGGGAGAGCCCCACCTCGAGAATCTCCTTCAAAGTGCATAAAATCCCACAAGGAATGAGACATTCCTTTGGGTTAAGAGTTGCCTTCTCTGTGTGCTATTTATTTATTTAGTTTATTGAGACTGGGTCTCCCTGTGTTGCCCAGGTTGATCTCGAGCACCTTGTGCTCAAGCAATTCTCCCCCCTCGACCTCCTGAAGTTCTGGAATTACAGGTATGAGCTACCACGCCCACTTGCGTGTTATTTTTAAAAGCTGAAATGACATGAACTCCATAGTATGAATTAGTTTATTAGTCGGAACTTCTTATTGATGATGATAACATGAAAAGACTGAGTCCCCAGAGCAATGGTCTACAGAGACCCTGAGAGACAAAGGGATCGCTTGAGGAAAGAAATGGAAGGGGGTTCCTGTTGAGCCTCTCAGTGCTGGCAAGAGCTGGTGGCTGAACAGAAAAGGACTTCATATCATAGCTGCTGCAAGAGTGTCAATATGGTTTAGAGGTGGAAATGAGGGAACGAAGTCTTCAAATCCTGTGTCCAAATAGGGCAGGGCAGGGCACAGAGAGCCATTGGTTCTTCCCAGGACACCCTGGCAGGGCTGCCATAGGAGGGGTGGGAGATTCTGGAGGCTAAGTGAGGAAGGAGTTCGACGATAATAGTTATCTGATCAATAATAACAACAATAAAAATGCTGGTAAGCGTTAACATTTATTTCTATGCGCTGGGCACTATTTATTTATTTATTTATTTATTTATTTATTTACGAGATAGGCTCTCACTCTGTCTCCTAGGCTGGATTGCAGTGGTGCAATCACAGTTAACTGTAACCTCAAACTCCTGGGCTCAAGAGATCCTTCCACCTCAGCCTCCTCAGTAGTGGGGACAAGTGTGGGCCACCATACCTAGTTATTTTTAAGTGTTTTTGTAGAGATGGGGGTTTCACTATGTTGACCAGGCTGATCTCAAACTCCAGGGCTCAAGTGATCCTCCTGCTCTGGCCTCCCAAAGTGCTGGGATTATAGGGCGTGCGCCACTGCGCCCAGCCCTGGGCGCTGACTTTATAGACATGGTTTTATTGATACTTCAGCACAACCCTATCACTTAGATACTACAGGCTGAGCATCCCTAATGTGAAAATCCAAAAGCCCGAATGCTCCAAAATTCAACACTACTTGAATGCCAACAAGACACTCAAAGAAAATGTTCATTTGAGCATTTCAGATTTCCAGATTAGGGATGCTCAACCAGTGAGTATAATGCAAATATTCCAAAATCTGAAAAAATCCCAAA